ATTTAACGTTTTCGATTTTAATTTAAGGTTTAGGCATTTTAATTTAACGTTTTCGATTTTAATTTAAGGTTTAAACATTCTAATTTAACGTTTTCGATTTTAATTTAAGGTTTAGGGATTTTAATTTAACGTTTTCGATTCTAATTTAAGGTTTAGGCATTTTAATTTAACGTTTTCGATTTTAATTTAAGGTTTAGGCATTTTAATTTAACGTTTTCGATTTTAATTTAAGGTTTAGGGATTTTAATTTAACGTTTTCGATTTTAATTTAAGGTTTAGGCATTTTAATTTAACGTTTTCGATTTTAATTTAAGGTTTAGGGATTTTAATTTAACGTTTTCGATTTTAATTTAAAGTTTAAACATTTTAATTTAACGTTTTCGATTTTAATTTAAGGTTTAGGCATTTTAATTTAACGTTTTCGATTTTAATTTAAGGTTTAAACATTTTAATTTAACGTTTTCGATTTTAATTTAAGGTTTAGGCATTTTAATTTAACGTTTTCGATTTTAATTTAAGGTTTAGGGATTTTAATTTAACGTTTTCGATTTTAATTTAAGGTTTAGGCATTTTAATTTAACGTTTTCGATTTTAATTTAAGGTTTAGGGATTTTAATTTAACGTTTTCGATTTTAATTTAAGGTTTAGGCATTTTAATTTAACGTTTTCGATTTTAATTTAAGGTTTAGGCATTTTAATTTAACGTTTTCGATTTTAATTTAAGGTTTAGGCATTTTAATTTAACGTTTTCGATTTTAATTTAAGGTTTAGGCATTTTAATTTAACGTTTTCGATTTTAATTTAAGGTTTAGGCATTTTAATTTAACGTTTTCGATTTTAATTTAAGGTTTAGGCATTTTAATTTAACGTTTTCGATTTTAATTTAAGGTTTAGGCATTTTAATTTAACGTTTTCGATTTTAATTTAAGGTTTAGGCATTTTAATTTAACGTTTTCGATTTTAACTTAAGGTTTCAACATTTTAATTTAACGTTTTCGATTTTAATTTAAGGTTTAGGCATCTTAATTTAACGTTTTCGATTTTAATTTAAGGTTTAGGCATTTTAATTTAACGTTTTCGATTTTAATTTTAAGGTTTAGGCATTTTAATTTAACGTTTTCGATTTTAATTTAAGGTTTAGGCATTTTAATTTAACGTTTTCGATTTTAATTTAAGGTTTAGGGACTTTAATTTAACGTTTTCGATTTTAATTTAGGGTTTAGGCATTTTAATTTAACGTTTTCGATTTTAATTTAGGGTTTAGGCATTTTAATTTAAGGTTTTGTTAAACGGGAGATATTTTGCCGAGTGGTTGCCAGTAATCCTCGGCATTCTTCGCCCATTTCCCAACCTTTTCGTTGTTTTTCGCCAGATTTCCATTAGGGGGCGCATCCATAAGTGGAAGTGAGAATGAGGGGATACGGTAGAGTAATGGAGTGGAGTAATCCCTCCACTACCACCCCCACCTCAATCAGCAGGGGGGTGGGGGGGGGAGGGGATTGGGGGGCCATTTGATGACCATCCCTAAGATCACTGTATAAAAGGCCCCCAATCGGACAACAATCAGTTGGGTGGTTTTGGAAGGGCAGGTGGGTTTCTGGGCAGTCCTGAGAATTCCACTTCGATCCTGAAATACGTTTGGTTTTTATTTTAACCTGATTCCTGTTCATTTTATGGGTTCCTAATTTTTATCCCTACTGTCGATTTAATATATGCAATTCTCGGAACTCATGATAGCTTTTTCAGGTTGAAAGTATTTTCCATGGTTCCACCAACAACTACACGACGACCCTATGGAATGGCATTGCAGATTGACGAGTCGGTTGAAGCACGCGATCGATCTAGGGTATGTATCTTAAAGGTTACTCGAATGTCATCGGGGGTCCTTTTACGGCAATAAGACTTGTAGCCATAATCCTGACAGCCAAAATCCCGATAGACACGAAAATCCCGACGTGCCAAAAATACCAACTACGAAATCCCGACAGAAAAGTCACGACCGCCAAATTCCCGGCAGAAAAACCACGATCGGCAAAAATCCCGACAGGCCAGAATCCTGACATCCAGAATCCCGACAGCCAAACGTACTATAGGCGAAAACCCTGAAATCTAAAATCCCGACAAAAAAATCCCGGAGGGGGGGGGGTGCAAAACCCCGACAGGCCAAAATCCCGACATGATCCTTGGCAGTAGCTTGAATGCCACATATTTTAAACAGCTGTTTGCATGTCGGCATTTTGGCTGTCAGGATTGTTACCTATCGGCTTTTATTATACAGGGTGGGCAAAAAAAAAAGCCCACAGTTTGGGTCGAAATAACTCGCGAACGGTAGAGAATCGAAGGTACGTTACCATGCCAGAATGCTTAAATATGCTGGGTATGAAGATTTAACACAAGTTGATTTTTTCGATTTTTGGCGACGTATCAATACAAATGACACCCGAAAACTGTGCGTTCGGGGAAACTTCATTTGTATTTTTCTCAGTTTCCTGTGGTGGCTGGCATCTAATTTTTATTATGTAAGGTAATATAAGCCGCAGATATGTACCTACAAAATTTAAGAATTTTTGAGGGTCTGGTTGAAAAGTTAGAGAGGAATGAAATTTTGTATGGAGAAATTTCGTAATTTTTCGATATTAAAAAATCTTATGGTGGAAATGTCAAAAGAACGAGTTGTAGAATACCTACGGACTATGCACAATTGCATAAACACATTAAAAAAATTTTCGAGGTCGACGAATTTTTGAGTTTTTCAACGACCCCCTGGTCATGGATTTTTCGAGGTCTCGAAACTGAACTTGGAAAAAATATTTCTAAATTGCCAAAGGAGACTGAGCTGTTTTCTTTGCTTAGCTATGTAGTTCTGGGGTTGATCTATCATCTACAAAATTTCGAGCTACCGTACCCCTTTGGAAGGGCGTCTTTTAGGGCCTCCAAAACGGTTGGTTCGTGCTTTTTTACGTACCTTGCCACCATGTTATAAATTTCAATCGCGCTATGAAAATTATCGTTTTAATTTTATCTGATAGCAGTGGAATAGCGCATCCTAAAGCCTTATTCATGAATTTTTTTAACCAGCCGTTGGCGCCAAGAAAATTCATCAAAACCCGAAATAAACCGAATTGGAGGTTGCGTAAAAAAATTTTGGAAGGTGGAGTCGTAGGGATATTTTGAGCAATAAGTCAGTGCCATCAGTTGAATAAAGCTATGCAAAGATTAAAGCAATTTCACGTCGCAAACATTTTAAGAAGATTTCTAAACTTCGATTTTGGAATAGGGTGATCTTCGATTTTGAGCTGAAAGTCACCATAATCATGAATCAGATTGTCCCCAAATTTGACGGGCGTAGATAATAACATCAAAGCTATAACCGTATCCATAATACCCAGCTCGTTTTTTTATTTTTAAAAACTCGAAAATTGACCCGGCCACTCGGACCCAAAATCGGCTCTCTGGACTGGTTTTGCACTGCCTCGTAACTTTGTTATTTACCATCCAAAATCAGTCATTTTTGACAGGCTATCTTACAATCGCTTCTAGAAGGTCATCGAATAGAAAAATCTTCAATTTATGGAATTTTGTGATGGCATGCTAAAACGCGCTCCACGGGGGTTACTGTAGAAAATCGAAATTTGCGATTTTCCGGTGTTTTTGCCATGGAATCGCTTCGATCTTTTCGGAAAACCAATAGTAGCAGTTTTTGGACCAATTGATCAAAAAATTTACAAAATTCTGCCGCAGAATTAAAAAATAAGTTTTTAGTCTTTTTCATGAAAGTTTGTGGATAGTACGCTCTCGTATTTGGCAGTAAGGTGCCTCTACTTATTGCCTAACAACCCAGAAAATTTTAGCCGAATCGAAGCTAGGGGCCCCGAGAAAAGCGGGAAAAACGAAACCTACAGTACCCCCGCTGGGGCACGTTTTAGCAAGCAATACAAAAATACCATAGATTGTGGTGGAATATGGTGTGGGATCCGAGATTAATATTTGGATAAGCCATTGGCGAAAAACCAGCCATAGGCAGTGAGTTATAAGCGAGTTATGACACCGAGAACAAAAATAACGAAAACTCGCGAAAATTGTTTTGTTTTTAAAAAATGAAATTGACCTCAAAAAATTCTAAAATTTTGCTATTACATTTCTACAAATTTATACTATTTTCAGACAAAAAAAATCAGGATTTTCCCACCACCCGTTAAGGAACGCACAATTTTCGGTCGCAACCAGCGTCAATAGTACAGTTGCGTACCCAAAAACCGAAAAAATCAAGTTGTGTTAAATCTTCATACCCAGCATATTTAAGCATTCTGGCATGGTAACGTACCTTCGATTCTCTACCGTTCGCGAGTTATTTCGACCCAAACTGTGGGCTTTTTTTTTTGCACACCCTGTAATCAAGAGCCACCCCCAGCATCCTCTTCTCACGATTCTCGTCAGGGCAATAGCCGACAATCTTCCTTTGATAGCCGTCGTAGCTTCTCCCGAAATCGCTCTTCTAGCCGTCACTCTTCAATAGTTTTGACACCTCTGGCCGCTCTCGTTCTCGGGAGCGCCGCCACCAGGACTACGGTCGTTCTGATTCCGACTGCACCCGCCCACGCCGCCTTCTCTGGGCGTAAGCGTCCTGATCACCACGAACGCGCCTCCCGTCCGCGCTCTCATAGCCACTCCGCCAAAAAGTGTGCCGCCTTTCGCAGTAATTTCGCCACCTTTACCAATAGCTTAGTTGCGAAGCGCGTTGGATCCCGCGACCCCTCGGGGCGTGTTCCGCTTCCCCCTGTTCCTGACCCCGCAGATGCCCTCCGTCAATTCATTCATGGAAAACGCCATCTCATGACTATCGCCATCGAGGCCTGGAACGTCAGGGACAAGCGCTTTTCCAAATGCCACGCATTAATAGATCCCGGCGCGGAAGCCAGTTTTTGCACTCGCAAGTTCCAGGATCAATTAGGCCTTGCCTCCCTGTGCCAAGAAAATATTAACATTATTAGTTTTGGGCGATGTTGCCTCGGACGAAGATGTCCTCATCCGGTTCGTCTCATTATTAGAAATCTTCATGCTGACTCCCAATATGAACGCGTGTCCAAACCTATATTAGTTTTCTCCAAAAATAGCAAATTGACTAGCTCCTACAGCACGCCCTGTCTCACCGAGGACGATCTCGCCTTTATGCAACATCTGAATTGGCCATATCAACCTCCGGATCCCTCTGTCGACCCCGATCTGCTTCTCGGCATGGACATTTGGTGGTCATTATTTGATGCCACTATTCATAAGGAATGCTCTGTCCGGTCTCGTGGCCGTTCAAACCATTTTGGGCACTGTCGTCAGTGGCCCGCAGATTCTACCTCCTGCGCGGGTCCCCGAGCTCTTAACCTCTGTCCGCATCAATACCGCTAGCACTTCTTCTGCTCTGGGCGAGGAGGAGTCCTTCCTTCCGCTCAAACAACTCTGGACTTTGAAAAACGCCGGTCTTGACGAAATTCTGCTTGATTCTCCCACTCAACCCATCGATCAGCCTTTTATCCAAGATCTATTAGCCAAGCATGAAATTCGTGAAAAAGGGCGCATTTATACCAATCTTCCTTGGAATTTCAAAAAGGAACAGCTTCCAAATACTTTTTCATTAGCTCTCTCTCGTCTAAAAAACAATCTTCCCAAATATCGCGAGGATCCCACCGTTTGGCAATCTATCAAAAATGTCTACGCAGACATGCTGAAACGCGATATCGTGGAAATAGTCGATGAACCCCATACTATTAGCAATACTACCGTTTACTATATCCCGGTCCACGTCGTTTTTCGCCCTGGCAGTCATTCCACAAAAGTTCGTGCTACATTAGATGCTAGCGCATCCTACGCTAACGAAATCTCCCTCAATGACGCATTAGACAATGGCCCTTCCTTATTAGCTGACTTGTGCACTACGTTCCTCCGTTGTCGGACCCATCGCTATCTCATTAGTTCGGACATTGAAAAAGCCTTTTGGGGCGTGCGCCTGAAAGAGGACGATCGAGACGCAACGAGAATCCTCTGGCTAAAAGACCCAGATGGACCCCTCGTGCCGGAAAACTTACTTGTGCTCCGGCACAAATGCCTGCCTTTCGGGCTGGGGCCAAGTCCAAATATATTAGAATTTGCAAAATTAGTTCTCGTTCTTCATTATCCCGACTTTAATGAGATCGTCGCCATGTGCTACGTCGATAATAGCTTTATTGGTGCCCGGGATGTGTCCGAAGGCAAACGCAAAGCACGTTTTGCCAAAGATACTTTGCCCGTATCGACATGAATCTTAGAGATTTTATTAGCAACAATATGGATATTCTTACCGAATTTGACGATCAAGATCTCGCTTCCAACCCGATCCAAAAAATATTAGGCGTCGCCTGGAATACCCTGACTGACACTCTCTCCTGGACCCTGCGTTTCAATAGGCCATCCACCGCAAAAATCACTAAAAAATACGTTGCCAAAGTTTTTTGCAGCCTCTACGACCCCTCTGGTATCTTAATTCCCGTTATTATCCGCTCACGCATCTTTATGCAACAACTCTGGAAATTTTACTCCAAATGGAGCGATGAATTAGGCCCCGAACATCAACTTGAATTTGAAAAGCTTTTTTCCGAACTCCAGGACGAAGTCTTGCAGCTCCCGCGCGCCATCGCCTTCCGCGCTGACAACGAATCAATCACATTAGCGCTTTTCAGCGACGCCTCTAACAACGCCTACGCTTGCGTAGCATACTTGCGCGTCCAAAGCAATAGCAAAGTTTATGTCCATCATATCCGCGCCAACTTTAAATTAGTCCCTCTTCATCATCGTGATCGCTTCACCACCCCCAAGGTCGAATTATTAGGCATGTATTTGTCCGCTAAATCAGCTCGTTTTCTCGTCGCCAAATTAGACCTGGCTATCTCCTCCGTCCACTTTCACTGCGACAATACCGCAGTTCTAGGTTGGCTGCGCAATCCTCCTACTAAAGTCGGCCCCTTCGTTCGAAATCGCCTCAGATACATCCATGAAACCGTTTCGCTTTTCGCAGCCCAAGGTCTTATTAGCGATTTCCATTATGTGGCCACTAAAGAGAACCCAGCCGATGTAGCAACCCGAGGTTGCACTGGCCGTGAATTAGTTACCGATTCCAATTGGCTTCATGGGCCTCCCTCCCTCGAGCAGGATCCTCAATCTTGGCCCCCCTTCTCTAGCCAACCACCGCCCGAGCCGAATGACGATCTTGCGCTCGCCCCAGATGACCCCATCGAACCCTCGAACCTAGCTCACTTTGCAATTCACTCTCAACAAATTTTGGATAATAGCGATCAACCGAGCGTTTTACCTATTAGCCGTTTTTCTCAATTTTCGACGTTGCTTCACGTTACCACGTTTCTGTTGACCTGGCGTCTATTAGTGCTCCGAAAATCCAACCGAGCGCTCGGATCCTATCGCGATCTACCGAAATTAGCCCATGATACGATTATTCGACAGCATTACCTCGGTACCAAGCTCGACCTGTCAGCGCTTGGCTCACGCGGTATCCATGCGGATTCGGACGGCATTTTGCGCCTGCATACGCGCCTCGGCCGCGCCAAACTCGTTGATGATATGGCAAAACCTATCTTTATCCTTCCCAAAAGCCCCCTTCTTCATCTGCTAATTAGAGAGGCCCATAATAGCGTCTATCATTGTGGCGTTAAAGACACCCTCGCTGCTTTTCGCCGCAAATACGTCACAATCGGCCTCCGTAAGAAGGTGGAATCCTATTTACGCCACTGCGTCCTCTGCAAAAAGTTTAATGGCAAACCATATAAGTACCCTGGATTAGACCATCTCCCTTTAGATCGCGTTTTCATCCAAGCGCGCCCCTTCAACACCGTGGGATTAGATAACTTCTTTTTGACCGTCAATCAGCGACGCCGAGTCGTCCTTCTTATCACTTGTACGGTAACCAGGTTGATACATTTGGAGATTAGTGAAGATTTGACTGCATTAGCCTTTATTCAAAGCTTTAAACGATTTTGCTCCCGGCGTGGCGTTCCCGCAAAAGTCTTTGCCGATAATGGCAGTAATTTTCGCCTTGGTGCCCAGATTCTTGCCCCCGAGCAGCCCGCGTCTGGGGACTTCGCTCAAAAAATCGGCTCCTTTATGGACAATAGTGGAATTTCCTTCGTCTTTATCTCCCCCCTCAGTCCCTGGAAAGGCGGTTTTTGGGAACGTCTCAACCATAGCATTAAAACAGTCTTTTACAAAAATAGCCTCCGTACGAAAGCACTCGCAAAGATGGACGACGCCTCGTTCCTTACCTTGATCATCGAAATAGAAGGCATCGTAAATTCGCGTCCGCTCACGGGCCGCCGTGACTTTGACGAGATCGTGCGTGCCATTGATTTTATTAGCCCAAAAGCGCTTCTCAACTGTCCGATCGATACTTCACCGGACCATTGGATTCCCGAAATTTCCTCGATCGACCATGTCAAATCCCTCCTCAATAGTTACGAACGCTTTCTCAAAGAATCTCGCGAAATTTTTCAATCCGAATACCTCCTCGGGCTCCGAACGTACCATAAACAGCGTTTGATCAATACACAAGGAGCTCATCTTCCTCGCGTCGGAGATGTAGTTTTCATTGTGGAGGACAACAAACCGCGTCGTTCTTGGCCATTAGGTATCGTCGAAAAACTCAAGATTAGTAGCGACAACGAAATTCGCTCTGTTTTTGTTCGCAACACCAAAAACCATGTATTAGAACGTTCCGTAAACCATTTGATTCCTCTTGAAATCACCTCTTCCGAGCCAATAGTCCCCACTTCCTCCGATCCGCCTACTAGCGCCATTTCGCTGCTTGACTCAGCTCCTCCGGCGCCCTCCGGGCCTCGCGTCCAGCCGGCTCGAGCCGCCAAAAAACCTATTAGCTATTTAGAAACCAGTGTGCAGGCCTTGCCTTCGTCCCACCAGACTTCGGCTTTGCCTTCCTGGCGTTTTCACAAGCTGGCTTTCCTACTCCCTATACTCCTGCTTGCTCAAACCGTCTCCGCCGCCACCAAAATAGAATGCATCACCGGCGGCGTCCGCCTCCATCTTTCCCGCCTTGATGAATTTGAGCTCTGTGCCAATAGTCAGTGCAAAATCATTAGAAATCCTGATGCCGAGCATACTGAACTTTTTCCCGGTTCCATTGTCCGCCGGCCCTATCTAATCACTTGGAAATCAGGGATCGGTCCTGATCCTCACCTAGTGCAATTAGTCTGTCCCGCGGCCCAATTATGCCACACAATAGAATGCACTTTTTGCTTCGAAGCATTGCTAAACTATCAGTGCTGGCCCCTTTTTTCCACATTCCTCACAATAGTCCTGACTACCGTGGCCCTTTGCCTCATTTACTGGGCGTGCAAAGGCTTAAGAACAATTTTGCGTGGGCTCCGTTCTTGCCTTGCCAATATTTTTCTTTTCTGGCGTTTTTTTCGTCATCGGCGCGCCCGCCGTCGCCTGCTTTCTGAAGACGCCCTCCCTCTTCACTCCTCATCAGTGCCTGTTTCTGGCCCATTAGCCTTGCCGGATTCGGCTCCAGCCAACGTCCTTTATACCGTTCGGCGTCGCGGGAGCACCCATCTCCTTTTTTTCATTATTTTGCTCAGTGTAATCCGAGTGGCGTACCCCTGCGATGATACACTGTACCTTTCGAATAGCAACATTCGCTGTTTGAGTGAGAACCCTAATCAGTGCGAATTCCGCAAATCCATTATGTCCCAGCTTAATAGTCACAAATTAGAGCATTGCTATACCCTTCGTGACTCGAAATCCAATATCCTTGGTGAAGTGCGCCTTCGTGTCCTGCGGGTGGCTCAGACTTGCCAAAAAGTCATGCGCTATTTTACCCGGGATAACGAAATTCGCGTCCATTTCTCTAAAAGGTGCCCTGGCATGGGCTCTTGCAAAGGCCAGCATTGCGCATCTGTCAGAAGTAATAGTATCATTCCCGAATTTGCCCCCAATATTCAAAAAGCTTACGGCAATAGTCATTGCGTCGAATCTTGTGGCGGCTGGGGCTGCGCTTGCGGCTGGTTATCCAGCGGCTGCCTGTATTATCGAATAGTTGAAGAATCCCTAGGTAGCCATCCAATAGAATACTATAAGTGCCGTTCCTGGCGCCCTACCATCGAGCTCGAATTAGAATGGCAGTTGGGACAAAGCCATCACATCGTCCGGCGCGTCTTATCGCCCTTCTTTAACCACCAATTTCCAGGCTATAGCTTGACAATTCAATCCCTTCAATTAAACTCCTACGATGTACAGCACGATCGTTTTCTTTTTGACCAAATAGCCAATATTAGTATTGTTGCCCCTCAAAAATTCAAGCCAATCCTCGAATGTCCGAATCGTCTTCTGCAGAATTGCACCTTCATCGATCGTTGTACTTGCCTGCCCGCCGATCAGAGTATCGCCTGCAACTGCGATTATCATCGTCCTCGCTCGCTCTTCTCTGATCTGAACCTCGTTCTTCCTCTCACTACACCCGACTACTTGCTGGCCACCGATGCGAACCAACAGGTCGTCATGCAACCTCTGCGGTTTGCCGCCTCTTATTCGCTCGAGTTTACCGGCTTCAGTTTTGAAAGCCAGAACATGGTCAATAGCTTACAGGCTGCGCAGGTCCAGTTTATCTCATTAGAAGGCTGTTACGACTGTCAACGTGGGGCCATCGTCTCCCTCCTTTGCCAAGTGAATAGCACTCGCCCCCTTCCCCTCTACCTGGAATGCACCAACGCCTTGCAGAGCGCAACTAGACTGCAATTCTCGGTTCTCTGCGATCAGCACGGGCTACTCACCAATCGTAGCCTTCACTTTACTTCTCCTGAAGTTAATAGTTCGTGCACCTCGACACAAGCTCCTTCATTATCCTTACACCTATATGGCCATTTGTTTTTTGATTCAGCATTAGATAATAGTATGCTTCAACCCTTGCACGTGCCCTTCCTCCCCGATTGGGCCTTTCCCATCCCTCTCCTCCAATATTGGCATCTCGCCAAAAAATCTTATGCTCTTTTTGCCTTCTTCCAGGCAAATTACCTCTATCTCGCTGCCGCCACCCTGGGCGTTCTCATCCTTGCTTACGTCATCTATCAGCTCTATCTATGGCATCTCCTTAAATGGCTTTGTTCTTTTTTTCTTTTTTGCCTTCGCTCTCCCTTATGTTTCTTCGCGCTCATCCGTCACTTCCGCCAAAAATTCAAAAGTCATTAGTTCTTTCCAGTACCCCTTCAACCTTCAACGACAACATGCCGAAGCAAACCGCTCCCAAGCGCAAAGCCAAACCACCGGCGCGCGCTCCCTCTCCCGCCCCCGCTCCCGTCGAGGACATGGACCTGGACGAAGTCGACCACGCTGCTCCACCTGATGACCACCTGTACTTGGAGTTGGACGACGACGTTCTTCTCGCCGATGAGCCATTAGCCGATGAGCCATTAGATGAAGATGAATTAGTCGATGCGGCCATTCCCGAGGCGCCTCCCGCAGTGCGTCCCGCCCCTCCTTTGTTTGATCCTCGCGCTGCACCGGCCGCGCCATTAGTTCCGGATCATCAAGAGGGCGCTCCTCCAGCTGTCGCTCCTCCGCCGCCTCCACCAGGATTCGCTCCCCTTCAACCGGCAGCCCCGGCATTAGTTCAGCTCCCCCCTGCCGTCGGTCCGCTGGCGCCTGCTCCGGTCGTTCTTGCCCCAGGTTACGTGCAGATCTCGAGGGAGCAATTTGAAGCCTATCAGGCCCAAGTCCGAGCCAATGAACGCCGTCGAGCTCAGGAGAATCAGCGCCTTCAGGAGCAAAGGGCGTATATTCGCCAACATGGACACCCCCGGATCACGTTGGCCACCCCGGAAAATGAGGGTTTCGGAATTAGTCCACGCGAAGAAGCCAACATCAGACAAGAACGTGGAACCTGTATCGGCTGCTCCGGTAATCACGGAATCCGTGATTGTTTGGTTTTCGCTACAGCCACCGAGCGTAACGCTCTATTAGTCGTCCGCGACATCTGCAGAAATTGTCTCAGTCATACCCTCACCAATAGTCGATGTCGCTCGGGCCCAAAGTTGTGCGTCTGTTGCTGCCGAGAAAACGACGATCTGGAGGCCGCCAAGCACAATACAGTGTTGTGCCCCCTGTTTTTTACGCCGCGCCGTGCCGTGTACGAAAAGCTGAAGAAGTACCGTCCATCGTCTCCAGATGGAACCGCCTTCCAACAACAGCGGCGCCGCCAAGCGTAGGTCCCATCCCTCCGCTCTATTAGCCTCTCTTTGATTAGCCCTTCGTGCGAAGCCATCCTCTCCCCCCTTCATTAGCCTGCCTCCTCCAGCTTCTTCCTTGCCTCTCGCCATTTGTCCTCCCCGATTAGACCGCCATCAGCCTTGCTAGATTCATTAGTCGCTCTGGTCTTCAATGGTCCTGGTCGCCACGTGCCATCTGCCTCTCACACACGATGCCTTGCTCGGATGTGCTCTGTTGTGCTGCTCGGCTGTGCTCTGCTGTGCCTGTGCTCCTGCCATGATGTGCCCGCGGCCTCCATACCCTTCCCAATTCTCCCCTATTTTTTTGCTGCTCCCATCGCTTCCCTCTCACTACCTGCACCTGGCATTTTTTCATCTCATTGCCGCTTTCTTGTGTAGTGGGGTGTGTCGCACCCTTGGGCGAGCAGCCCATTATTTTCCCCTCCCCGCCTAGAATATAAAGTGCCCTCGGGATTGGCACGGGGAACTTTTTCCTATGAGTCCGCCTCGCTCTTCCCCACGTCCTTCTCAACAGGACAATGAGAACCACGATTAGCCCTATCTTATCTTATATCTTATTATATTATCTTATCTTATATCTTATTATATATGTAATAGGAATAAACCGCAACCATACGGTACTTCTAATAGTATAACATAACAGTAATACATATAAGGGGAATAATATCACTGTGAGCCTACCCGACGGGGCCACAGGGGCGTGGTCTAGACACGGTCCGCGCCCGGCCAGCCCGTGTCGCCACTCTTGACAGAACCATCCTCGTTCTAACAGAATGCTATGCCTCGAATTTCAGCCCAGCAAACAAAAGCAAGTCCGTTTAGTCAGATAAGTCTGTCTGGTGCGTAGCGACCGCAATTTAGCTTCGACAGAATTTACGGGATAATACTTTATCAAGCATGAGATCAGCAATGAGGATGAACAATGGGAAAGCGTAACAACAAATTGTAAAATAGTGATAGCGGTGGGACAACTGCAACGTAAAACTCATGTACAACATTTCGACTGCGTGTTACTTGCGTGAGGGCGCGTGAAACTGGAAAATTGTAAATCTATCCGTGTGTTTGGTCATCTTCGACGAAATCGTACGCCTTCTCGCGGGCCACCGAATCAATATGAGAGACCTGAAAAATTCGGGTTAGCTAATGCCTAGTAAATATCGAACCAAACAAGAAGGTGATCAGCCACTTACCTTGTTGCGGAAAATGACACCGAAGTACTTCTCCGCTGATGCCAAAAGTTCTGGTCGGAAGGTGGTGGTGATGAATTGGGCATTTTCAGCGAGTTCGTGAATCATATCTGCGAAAAGAATAGAATGATCGCTCTAGGGACACTAACCAGCCACAGCTTTTCGATGCATCGGGTCCAAGGCGGCGTCGATCTCGTCGAAGAGGTAGAACGGGGCAGGGTCGCACTAACAAATATTTGTTCTTGTTTAAGAGGAAAATTACCTTTTGGATGGCGAAGATCATCGCAAGGGCGACCAGAGTTTTCTGACCGCCAGAGAGCTGTTGCATTTCCCTTGTTTCCGCATCGGCTGTAAATCCAACCTAAAGCAAGGACGTTGTCGCTTCGGGTAACTCTTACCCGAATGCCGACCCCTGTGAAATTCTCGACCGTAGCCTTCTTCTTGCGGCTACTCTCCGCCTCATCGTCACCTTGGCTGTTGTCTTCCGTATTCTGGCTTTTATCCTACAAAAAATGCTGATAACTGAAGATTCTTACCGCCGTCTGCATGACTAGATCGCCACGACCGCCAGGAACCAATTTGGCGAACACATCGCGGAAATTCTTGGCGACCTAAAACAATGAACCCGCCGCCTATTAAAAAAACCTGCTTAAAGGTGAAGTGGATAGCGTCATATTTACGATTCTCCAACACGACCAACAAATTCTCAATAGCCGTCTCATTCTTGCGTTGCTCCTCCATGCGCTTTGTCAAATCCTCTTTCTGAGACGACGCTTGGACGAATTGATCCAAAGCCTAAAAGAAAAGTTCCATCTCGTAAACCAAAGGACCTTTTTGTTGACGTTTTCGTACTTCTTCAACTCGTTCAACGCTTCGGAGAGCTTTTTGTCCAATTGCTTCGAAGTGAGGTTTTGGTACTTGCTGAATGCTTCTGTAGGGAGCGAACCGAGATCTCGAATCTAAAACAATATCAAAAAGTGTATTTTGATCGAAACGCACCTTCTTGACGCTCTCTTCACGCTTGGAGTAGAGTGTGCTCTGCTTGGTGAATATCGATTCGATCTGCTTCGAGAACTCCTCCAGTTGCTGCTCCAAATCCTTCTGTTGTTCGTGCACGTCGTCCAATTCGCGGGTCAACTTTTCAGACTTCTCATCGTATTCACGAAGCTTTTGCTCGAGTTCGTCAAGCCGTTGAATAATTTCCTAAGAAATCTATGACCGAAACCAGGAACAACATTACCTTCAGCCGGGTGAGGACGCTGGTCAATTCCGAGCTGTCATTTTCCAGGTTGTGTCGCTTTTCATCTACGGAAATGTCGCCGACTTTCTAAAGATCCCATAAACGCCCGAGATGATTTATTATACCGAGCTGAGATTTTCACGCCTACGGATCAGATTAGTCTCCAACAAGTTTTCAATCTTCCTTTTCCGAGATTCGAGGTCACTTCTGTTCTTCGTCACTTCTTCCAGTTTCACCCGAAGGGACTTCGATTTGTTCTAAAATCCGTTTTAAAATCAAGCGGCTCGTATGCCTGGAATTCTTCAATGTGCCGTTGATCACTCGACGACAGCTGGCTTTCCAGTGGCTGGTCCAGCTCCGACTCAAGCGTCGCCTTCTTGTCTTTCATCTCACGAATGCGGTTCCGCAATGGGATCAATTGATTTTTCTAAAAATCAGTAGGAAAATTAGAGCTTGGTAAACCTTTTGTTCAACGTTGCGGGCACCAGATACGAGTTGTTCGCTGGTGAACTTGCGCTTCTCGTTCAGCTCGCGATGCAGGGATTTCAGACGCTGCAGTTCCATCTCAATGCGCTCGATTTCTTGTCTTATCCTTTCGACTTCTTGTTGTTTCTGGCCGGCTTCGCGCGCCAATCGTTCAAGCTCACCCTAGAGACAATTATCGAAATTTAGGAATTTTACTCACCGAGAACTCCTCCAAGCCTTGATTCTTCTCGCGGATGGCGTTGAAGGTTTCGAGCTTGGACTTCTTACGATCGATGTAGCCTCCGGTCAACGCACCACGCTTGTGAATCTGCAACAACGATCGTTACGTTAGAGCCGTGATGATTGCGCACCTGGTCACCGTCCAACGTGACAGCATCAAAGCCCTCGTGTTTGGCCATTTGTTGGCCGACTTGAATGGTTCGCACAATCACTAAAGATGAACATATTTGGGCCAATAAACGAAAATACCTGTTCCAGCAAACACTTGGCGGAAGACGTTCTCGAAGCGAGGGTCATATTCGAAGCAATCGATCATTGGGCGGGCATCCTGCAAGCAGAAAATTAGAAAAGAAGACAACGAATAAAAAAAATTACAAGATACGAGACAGCAAAAACAAACCGGATTGTTGGTGCTTCTCCTGTGGGGACAGGTGAGTCGCGACAGTGGAAAGAAGTCGAGTTGACCAGGGAGTTCCATCGCGTTAACCCTGTTGAGGATCTTCATCGCGACCCGATCATCTTGGACAACGTGGTAGAAGAGTCGCGAAGCCGCCGTCACTTCTACCGCCTGGTAGTAGTTCGGGTCGCAGTCCACCAGGTCGATCAATGTGCCTGAATTCCAAGTAGGAAATGAGCGTAACAGCTCACCGTAATATCCGTTCAGAACGTCGTCGTTCTTGCCGTTATGATTGTTGTCGCGGAACCATTGTAGCACGCGCTTCACGCTATCCATCCCATTCAGCGCCGGCTATAAAAATTTAAGGTCGATAAGAAACACAACCGAACCTTGTTCGTCAACCCGCGTAGCTGGTTCTCGAGCTGCTGTACTTCGGTTTTAACTTGGTCAAACTCTTCGCGACGCTCACGTTCTTTTCTGCCCGCATCCCTGTAAATAAAATGTGCATGCAAAATGAGGGGCCAAAAGTATCTCGGATTTTTGCAAAGATGAAGTGAACCGACATTTGCGCATGAACGGCCCTGTCAAGTTCCTTGCGCAGACGGGCATAGTTGCTGTTGGCGCGCTCGAGTTCGGTAGCCGTTTCCTCGACTCTGAGCCCAATATTCTGAAAGATAACATTAGCCTTTCCAGTAAACTGTCTGGCTCACCCTAATTTCATCATTGACCCGTTGCTCGTCAGCCGCCTCCTCCACCAGGCTCCTCTCGATCGTCTGAATCTGTTCTTCGGTATCGCCGAGCTGTGTCTTGACAAATTTAATTTCTTTCTTCAAGAAGTTGTCTCGTTCTTCAGCAGTCTTGAACTGCTGTTTGTGCCCTAAATCAATAAAATGAGCAACTGAACAGAAATTGTCGACCTTGTTTCAACAAGAGATCGTTCAAACGATTTTCAGCGATACGGACATCCGAACGCAATCCTTCCTCAGTTTCGAGAATTTTCTGTAAAAACTGCCATTCGTAATGATTGTAATATGACATGCCTCGTATTCCGGGATGATCTCGTCCAGCTCTTCTTGCTTTTCCGCGATGTCAGCCTTCAACCGCTCGAGCTCATCTTCGGCACGAGTGCGACCGGAACGCTCTTTCTCGACATCTTCTTTCAGATCTGAAAAGAGGAATTATGAATGAACCGAATAATCAACCTCGGATCTTCAGTTCGAGGGCGGTTCGTTTCTCGTAAAGAGCCGTTTGTTCTTGGGCAAGCGCTTGTTTTTCCTCTTTCTGGCCTTTGAACTTGGAATCGAGCTTGCGCTGTTCGGCGGAAGCCCTCGCTTCCCTAGCCTGCGCCTCCATCAAATCGGATTGCACCTAAAGATAACCATAAACTTCAAAGCAATGCCGCGTCAACTCGCCTTATTCTGTCGCTGGTTCAGCTCCTCGCGTTGCTCAGAAAGTTGGTCGAGCTTCTTGCGCGCTTCTTTGATCTCGACATCATACATCGTGTATTCGATAGAGCGCTTTTGCTTGTCCCATTTTTGGTATTCTTTCAAATCCTCCTTCTCAGATTCAAGCGTCTTTAGACGATCCTCGATATATGAAAGCAGGTCTTCGATCTTCTTCGTTTTGGCACCTAAACAGACGTGGGAAAACTTGGCGGAACTGAACCTGTTTCTTTGAGGATCTTTAGCGATTCTTCCTTGCGTTCATCGTAAACACGAGTACCAGCCACCTCCTTCAAAAGCTTCAATCTATGCGGATCAGGCGCCGTCGCCAGTTCATTGATTTTTCCTTGCTTCACGATGTAGTAAGGGTTGGAGCGCGAAAAGCCGGCCGATTCCATAAGATTGACCACCTAAATAGAGTAAGTACTTCAAAACTTCCCATTTGCACCTCAGCTCGTGGCACCAGTTTCTGGTCGATGTAGTACTGGTCCTTCTTTTGAGCAATCTGGCGAACCACTCGAACCACATCAGATTCCACCTATAGATCATTGAAAGGTAAAGACACCTCAAAGTCCATACCGCCGGGATGCGCCTATCGGAGTTGTCAAAAATAATCTCCACTCGGGCCACCGTCACTTTTGGTCCGGTGCCTTCGTGCAGCATTCCCATCCTCTGTTCAGGCCGCAAATGGGCGAATTCTTCCGACAGCACGAATTGAATGGCTAGAAATAACGTTTTAGGTTAAAAATGTTGGACAACCTAAGAAAAAGTTGGACTTCCCGGAACCATTGCGGCCCACGATGACATTGTGCTTCGGGGAGAAGCTGTCGATTGTGGTGTTTTCTCGGTAACTCCGGAAACCGGAGATGTTCACCTGGAAGCACAGGATACTAATTCCTAGCGTAGGGTTTACCTGTTTGATGAACATAGAATGGGAGCCAGCCGCTTCTACTCGAATTCAATATAGCTGGAAAAGATAGTTTTAGAAAAAGGTAAAAAGATAAAAAGGCTAAAATTGAAAAATTTCAAGGCGAAAAGCCCAACATTTTTTCGCGGCGAGACCACAGTTTTTACGTTAACTCGAGTTTCTAGCGCTATCATCCTTGCGCGCGTACTCTTTCTTTTCCAAATTTTGAGCTTCCGGTCCGTATAATTTTCTTTTTCGATAAACTAAAAAGTAAAAAGTATTTAATGTATGCAAAAATTTACAGCGCCCCGCCGAGGATTCGAACCTGCGAGCCCGCGTTTGCTGGTTCAATCGGGTGCCGGGTTGCGCTCGATTGTGTGGGGGAGTTGTATGTCTTCGTAGTGACTGAATGCTTAGCAGCGCGTTTTTGTAACTGGCGTATTATTTTTTATTATTATTTCCTTTTGTATGTTTAGGTAGTGCGCTTACCTCTAAATTGTTCATTTTCAGATTGCTCCTCAGACGTACACCCTTTCATGAAGGAGCAGTACCGAACGCCGAATTCAGCCCGAAAGGCGTAAGTCCGGGCATCTCTTACAAAACTCTTTTTCAGTGTTGCGGTCACCTTCTCACCAGGAAATGCAGAATTCATGCGACAGGTATGATTAGTTTTAGAATTTTTTATGGCTTTATTTTAGGTGGCCCATGTGCCGATTTGTAATCCGAAGCTTTATGAGGAGACTCCGGGGCGACTCACACCTGCAGCTCTTGGCCCCCTCGATACCAGACTGGTTTAGACTTTTGCCTATAGAATAATTTATTATTTAGGGGACCGCCAAGGGCGGAAATTGTGCAACATGTGGCTTGAACTTCACGGATTGCGTCGGCCATTTCGGGTTTATCGACTTGGAGATGCCCGTTTTCCATATTGGATATTTCAAGCTGATCGTAAATGTGTTGCAGTGCATTTGCCGGGTTTGCGCTTATGTACATTCCTTTCAAAGTGCTTTCAGCATTGCTCCCGGGTTTTGCTCACCACCGAACAACGCGATACTTTCCTGCGGCAGGTATGCAAGGGTTCTGAATAATTTTAGTGCTCCTTCTCTAGATCTCGAATCCGTCCCTCGACTATTTGCGGCGGAAGGCCATTCACAAGAAATTGATCCTGGCTTGCAAGAAGAACAAAATTTGTGCACACTGCTATCATCCGAACGGTAGTCTGGTTTTAGTTTTGTTATACGATGTCTTAGGCACGGTGAAAAAAGCTGTGGGCGTCATCTTGAAAATTGCCGACACTTTGGACAAGGAGAACTTGAGCGAGTATCAGCATTCGATGGATCAAAATGTCGAACTGGGAAAGGTGTTGCCGAAGGCCAAATTCGCCCAGTTGACACCCTTGCACGTGCAGAAAATTTTCAGCAATATCATGCCAGAAGTAATTTTAAAAAATTAAGGAGGTTAATAACGTTTCAGGATATCAACATCATCATGGTGCGTTGCGGGCAGGAAAAGAGTCCTCTCGACATGCTGCTCACCCGCATCCCAGTGCCGCCCGTCTGTATACGACCGTCCGTGGCCAATGAAGTATGGTCAATTCGTCTCTTTCGATCACTAATTTTACTAGGTAAAAGCCGGAACAACGGAAGATGATCTGACGATGAAGCTCTCGGAGATTATCTTGATCAACGACGTCCTACGAAAGCACAAGCGTGATGGCGCGCCCTCAAAAACGATTTATGAGACATGGGAGCACCTCCAGGCATGAAATATTATTTATGGCCATCACGATTGCCACTTTTCAGATACAATGTGCGCTATATATCAACAGCGAGGTGTCTGGACTGCCTCCAGAATTACAGAGCAAAAAGGTTAAGCACCTAGCTTGAGTTTTCAAACGTTTTCTAGTCTATCCGCGGCTTCACACAACGCTTAAAGGGAAAACAAGGACGTTTCCGCGGGAATCTGTCCGGCAAGCGTGTCGATTTCACGAGCAGAACGGTTTGGTCAAGTTTCACTTTATAAACCGCGTTCAGGTAATTTCCCCGGACCCGAACTTGAAAATCGATCAAGTTGGTGTACCGCTACACGTCGCAAAGATCCTGACATTTCCGGAAATTGTGAGCCTGCGCGGATTGGTGACCAAAACATTTTCAGGTCAACAACTTGAACTTGGCGCGGATGAAGCAGCTGGTGCGGAACGGACCCGATAAGCACCCGGGCGCAAATTATTTGGTCGATTCGAAGACGGGCGGGAAGCGCTATTTGCGGTATGCCGGATAGAACTTGTTTGTTGGATTTTATCTAGCTTTGGAAATCGAGACGAAATTGCCGATAATCTGCGCCGCGGCGATATTGTTGAGCGTCATTTGGATGATAATGACCCGGTGCTTTTCAATCGTCAGCCCTCACTGCACAAGATTTCAATTATGAGCCATCGAGCGAAGGTGATGCCCGGGAGAACATTACGGTGAGCCTGGCTTTGAAGACATCAGTGCCGTTTTTAGTTTCAACGAATGCGCCTGCGCGCCATATAACGCCGATTTTGACGGTGACGAGATGAATCTTCATTTGCCTCAAACTTACGAGGTACGTATGGTTGTTACAGTGACAATAAAATGATTTTTTTGTTCTCATTTACGGTGGTCTTTACGTTTTTTTCTAGGCCCGTGCAGAAGCTTCGTTGCTGATGGGAGTGAAGAGCAATCTAATTACACCCCGATCTGGCGAACCATTGGTGGCGGCTATTCAGGTAAAAGCCATCAAAATTTAGAAAAATCTGTGTATAGGATTTTATCACGGGAGGCTACTTGATGACGCACAAGGACTCTTTCTTTCCACGTTCCGAAGTACACCGCTTCGCGGCTGCGATCATCGACGCCACCTCCCCTGACCAAAAGCGCATCCGCATCCCACCACCGGCCATCTTGAAGCCCGTTGAGTTGTGGACCGGGAAACAGGTTTTTACGGTCAGTAGCGTTCAACATGTTCAGTTGATTGAACTGATCATTCGCCCGGACGCCGACTCGAACATCTCGCTGAATCTGGTGACGAAGAACAAAACCTACACGAAGAATGAGGATCTATGCCACAATGTAAGCGCCTCCTTCGGTGTCAACGTTGTTTTTTAGGACGGATACGTGATCATCCGCAACAGTGAATTGATCTGTGGCGTATTGGACAAGGCCCTTTTAGGCTCAGGTATATAGAAATTCGATTCCGCCTGACCGCCATATTTCCAGGCTCAAAGGTCAATATCTTCTACATCTTGTTGCGCGATTACGGTGAGGATGCGGCGATTGAGGCAATGTGGCGACTAGCTAGAATGGCTCCTGTTTACATCACAAATCGGTAGTACCATGTTTTGCATTTTGACAGGACGTTTTAGTGGCTTCTCCATCGGGATCGGTGACGTCAAGCCGGGAGAGCGTTTGTTGAGCGAGAGGAAGAATTTGATCGATGAAGGCATGCTCATCGTGAATTCTGTTATATTGGACTTTAGGCTATCGCAAATGTGACGAATTCATCGCGCAACTGGCTTCTGGACGATTGAAGGTTTGGTGTATTTTAGAATAGCCCAAAATTACGCTTTCAGACTCAACCCGGCTGTTCGGAAAAGGAAACCCTTGAATCGCTAATCCTGCGTGAGCTTTCCGTGGTTCGTGACCATGCCGGTCAGGTGTGCGTCAGGAATTTGAGCAGGTACAATTAGCCCTTCTTGTCAAAATTTGCATTCCAGTCACAATGCCCCGCTGACAATGGCCATTTGCGGCTCGAAGGGCTCCTTTATCAACATCTCCCAAATGATTGCTTGTGTCGGTCAGCAAGCTATTTCCGGACATCGACCGCCTGACGGTTTTGAGGTACTCCACTTTCCTCTTCCCGAAGGTTTTGTTTAGAATCGCTGCCTGCCACATTATGAGCGCTTCCAGAATACCCCACAAGCCAAAGGTTTTGTTGAAAACAGGTAGACATGAAGGCTCCTTGCTCAAGCAATTTTCTTCAGTTTCTACTCCGGCCTGACCCCCACCGAGTTCTTTTTCCACACCATGGGTGGTCGCGAGGGTCTCGTCGATACGGCTGTGAAGACTGCCGAGACGGGATACATGCAGCGTCGACTCGTGAAAAGCTTAGAAGATTTGTGCGTCGGCTACGATCGCACTGTGCGCACATCGGCAGGCGAGATCGTCGCCTTTGAATTTGGTGACGATGGTCTGGACCCCGCAAACATGGAGGTGATTGAGGCTAATCGTCTAAAATTTGGTTTTAGGCAAAGGATGGAGCTGTGGTTGATTTCAAGCACGTCTGGAACCACATACGGGCTGTGGGTGCTGCTACGGCTTCCACCGGCGAAGAGCCAGCCCCTACTCAAATGCTGGTAATTTGGAAAGAACACTACTGATAACCCATTCAGGATTTCGTGCGCACCTCATTGCAGAAGACATTCTCGGCTGAGATTGCCGAGTTTGAGGTCAATCGCGAGAGGTTACTTTAGTATTTTTTTAACTAATTTTATTTTAGGGAGAAACGATCGAAAGCTGCAAGGGCCGACAAAAAGGAGCCACCGGTACCGTTGCCTGCCGTGTCTGTCTTCGATGGGCCCGAGATCACGATCTGGAAGCAGATCTACGAGTTTTTGGAAACGGTATTGCGACAATTTTAATAGTACCCTGGTTCCAGATTGTTCTTGGCGGCTCAGGGGCGTTCGAACTGCCAGAAACCTGCGTATCCCATCGCGGTACGGCGGCAAAGAGAGCGAAAAAACCATGCCATGCCTGCCAAGGCGCCGATCACTACCGAAGGACTGTCTTGCTAGCCAAGTATTTGACGCAAGCTCAGGTTTCGACCTTGCTTGTTTTTTATGCTTTTTTTGTATAGGTGACTGCTTTCATTGACCGATGCGCGTTCAAATGGCGAAGGGCAATTTCGGAGCCAGGAACAGCCGTTGGAGCCGTGGCGGCCACTAGCATTGGTTTGCCGCAGTTTCAGATAATTGCTAATTGCACTTATAGGCGAACCGTCGACGCAAATGACGCTAAAAACGTTCCATTTTGCTGGTGTGGCGAGCATGAACATCACCCAGGTTTGCAGATGATTTATTTTGGAATCAGTGCTTTAGGGTGTACCCCGTATCAAAGAAATCATCAATGCGGTGAAGAACATCTCGACGCCGATCATCACCGCGTCTCTCGCCGACCCAAGCGACGGTGACTTGGCCCGAATGTGCAAAGCGCGAATTGAGAAGACAACTTTGGGTATATGGCAGTGTCCTTGCTTCATCCCGTTCAGGAGAAATCAGCGAATACGTCGAGGAGGTCATCCTCGCTGACGGCGCCTTCATCCTCATCAAGCTTAGCGCGCAGCGCATCCGTCTTTTGCGCCTGGAGGTGAATCTGCTTTTCAAAAAAAAACAAGTTGTTCAGATCACCCCAATCGACATTTTGATGGCCATCTGCACGAGCAAGTTAGACACCCCACTGAAAATGGGCGAGGTGGGTGTAGTCGTTTAGCTTTAGTTGTGATTAGGTGAGCTCACGCGGCAAGACGATGATCGTTGTTCGACCGTCCCCTTCTGCCAAGATGTCCCGTATGGCCCAGTTTCAGTACCTGAAGCGAGCGCTCCCAAAAATTATTGTGAAAGGTATCATTCCACAACGAACTTTGTGTAATGCTCTCCGTTGCAGGCCTGAAAGACGTTTCACGTTGCGTGATCCATGTCGATGAATCGAAAAATAGCAGCCATCGACTTTTGGTGGAGGGCACGGATTACCTCGGGGTATTTATTCCGAGTTTTCAGACGATTTTGTTGCAGGTTATGTGCACACGGGGCGTCGACCCGCTGAAGACGCACTTCAACAATGCATTGGGCGTGGCCCAGGTGCTCGGCATTGAGGCTTCGCGGACGATCATCATACGCGAGATTCTGGCGACTATGGAGAGTCACGGAATCAGTTTGGACCCACGGCACGTCATGTTGTTGGCTGACATCATGACTTATCGGTATGTTTTTTTTTTATCTGTTAATTCTCCCTCGATTTTTAGCGGCGAGGTGCTGGGGATTACGAGAAACGGACTAGTGAAGATGAAGGAGTCTGTGCTGCTGCTGGCTTCATTTGAAAGGACTACCGATCATCTCTATGATGCCGCCTTTTTCGGACAAAAAGATGAGGTTCGCGATCCTCGATTCCCGGAGCAGAAAACTTTCTTTCCAGATCAAAGGTGTCTCCGAATCAATCATCCTCGGCACTCCAATCCGCATCGGTAGCGGCATGCATAAGCTGCTCTACTCCCACCCCGAACCGCACGGAATTGTGCCCCGAACGCCGCTGTTTGACAGAGCTTTCGTGACTGCCTAGTCTTTACCACTTCTTGTTTGTCTATCTCTCTTCATAATTTGGCGGGTTCTAGTCGCTGGTTGAATTGTTGCTGTTCTTGTTGTTAACCGTTACATTGTTATCGTTACCATTGTTAAATAAAAGTTTATTATTTAGACGGGTTAGAGGGGTGCGCGGATCTTCGTTTGCCTGCCACCGTCACGTCTGCTAGGCTTTCTCGCTGCTGGCGCCTTCGTATTTCTTCCGGCCGACGGGTCGCCGCTTCTTGTTCAGGAAGCTGTGGCGGCCCACGATTGTTCCGAACGGCGGCTGGGAGACCGTATTTTGGTATGGCAAAGGCCAATTTACCTGCTTGGGAGGCTGAGCATCGATGAAGCAATGCTGGATGATCGTCATGGAGAGGAACCAGGTGACGCCCAAAAACCATAGCACAGTCACCAATGGGCTCAGGTAATCGAACCACGACAAGTACTGCAACAAGTACAATGGACAACTGATTGGTCTCACCTGATTCGTGAATACAGCCATCGCAGTACTGCAGAGTAAAAAAGTGCAGGGATAACTAACGCCTCCCGTCCCGGGGCCACCCCGCCCAGGCCTAGTTGTCATGCAAATTTGATGTGTATTTAGAGCTCGAATGTTTTACCGAAATCGCAAGGTGCAAAACTTGACAGCAACAGATCATGAAAACAATAAACTGGTGAAAATAAACAACGAAATATTTAAAGAATGCTTGGGCTGTCGGCCTTCGAGTTGCGCGGAAGTCATTGGGTGAAGGCGAGGAGTTCGGTCAGCTCGCCGAAGAGCGTCGAGTCGCTTTGGCGCGAGGCGAGGCGCACCTGTAAAGCGATGCAAACGTAAAACTTTAATAACCTTCGGGTCCTTGAAGAGCTGGCGGATGACGGTGATAAGGCGCTTGTTCGAGCCCTCAGCGTCTTCCAGTTCGGAAGCATCGCGATGGTCCGGCCTGAAAATATTGTAGTTTCGTTTGAAAGTTTACGTGGGAGGCTGAGGGCCGGGCAGCAAATTGAGAGCATTGGGGGCTGCCAATTTCATTGGATGATCCTGCGCCACATGCCCATCAAGTCCAACTGAGGGAAAGACATCTGTTCGCTTTTCTAAAAACCAATTTCATATGCGGCTCAGCCAAACCGGTGCGCTTGACGGCATCTTCCAGGATGTCTTCGATCGAGTTCCACGGGTCATCAGCCTCAGGATCTTGTTGCATGAGCCCATTGTTTGGCAGCGAGACCCGTTCCCACAGTGCATTCGATTTATCCAACCAATCATTGATCTGGCCCGAATGCGTGTCCTCGGCCACGGGATTGTAGTCCTAAAAACAAAAAAAATAATCAATTTAACGATGGTTTGTTTAGAAACGGACTACAATTTATGTAACCAAATTACCAGCTGGTGCGAATAGGCGTCAAGCGGCGCGTAGGGGTCGAAGCCTTGATGATCTTGCTGCTCCAGACTAGGAAGATCGTAGGAAATCCCGTCCCGCTTCGAGGCGTAGTGGCCAACACTGGATCCCGCGGCCATATTCTTCTTTGGGCCCTCCAGTTTGCGATTGTCCTTACGCACTTCCTTTTTCTAAAAAACCAGACTGTGTACATCACGACAAACCAAACCATACCCTCTCCGTATCCAACTCGTGAATCACCCAATCAGCGTAGCCGGGGTTTGTCGAGCTCACATCAAGCATGCACCAAAAGTGGGCCGTGTCGCCAGAACTCATACCGATGTTCCTTGCAACGCCATGACGATCCTCGATCCAGTGATACTAAAAGTCAAAAAGGGGTGGAATCACCAAGATTCCTTACCAAATCCGACCGAAGCACATCGCAGGTCCCCATCCTGTTTTTCTGGCCGGTGTACGTGCACAAGATGGACACCTAGAAACCGCGTAAACCGAAAGGCGAACTCATGCACATACCAGGCACAGATTGTTGTCTCGACGCAGCGGTGGTTGAGCGTCGGCGATCCGCATCAAACCGATCGTTTGACTCTTCGGGATCAGCCAATAGTTGACGAAGCGGCCCAGATTCGACTCGTGAAATCCGCTCATGCTAAAATGAAAACTAGTAAACTCGTGACTACGAATCGTTACGTCTCCATCGTGATTTGGATCGGGCGCTTGCTGTATCCGGTAGTAGGCCAAACGAACGCATGCTCACTACTCGGGAGACGAGTCGCGTATCCGGGGAAAGGCCCTTTCTAAATTCCAATACAAAACAAAAGGAAAATGGCACCAGGATCGTCTCGGGGAAGAACTGACAGTGAACCACCATCCAATAGTGCAGCTTCTGGCGAGGGTCGTCGAAGCGCGAGATGAGACATTGATAGATCCCATTCTCCGTCAGTGCGTTGTTCTAAATACAACATTGGTGCGCAGGGGAAAGGTGCCATACGTGGATCTTTCGCCTGTCATCGTAGACCTTGCCGAGATACTCATTGATGAAGGTCGAAACCCCGTCTTCTTTTCGCAGATAGCGCAATTCGCACGAGACCTAAATAAAAAGTAATCTAAAAGTTGTTAATGAATACCACGACGCTCGGCCCGGTGGCTCCGTTCGTCGTGCGAAGGTAGGCCCTGAACGAGTTCTTCTGCTTTTCCGGTGGGACGACTTGGTAACGATCGATGACGCCCACACATGCATCAAGGTCCGGATACTTTCTACAAGCGGAAAGCAATATTAACAAATTAGCACATACTGCCACGAGAAAGCGACTATATCGCCGATCTTGGCCGCCGGTCCTTTTGCCGCCATGTTTTGGCTCTGCGGGCTAAGCATGAGCTGGCCGTGGATGAAGCGGACGAACAGCGTGCCGCTGGTGGCCTTCGAGCAGACGACGCCATAATTCAGGTTCTGAAGCCGTTTAAACAAACGATAATGGAAATGCACCTGGCCGATGTTCGGGCTGGCCATTCGTGATTTTAACAAATCGAAGGCGCCACTGAAAAAAAATGTTATTTCCCTTTGTTTGGCTAAAAATAGAAGAGGAAAGAAGGTACAATTCGGATAAGCGGGGGATTTTAGGCGGGGGGAAACCGAACTTTTTTCGGCCCAAGCCTAGATTTTTTATATAAATAGTGGAAGTGTTTCTAAATTGTTTATAGCTATTCCTAAACATAAAAACTTTACAAAACTTAATTAAAAAATTTAATTTTGGGTCGAAAAATCAATTCTTTCGGTCCAAAAATGACCAAATTTTCGACTTTTTCAAGCGTGTTTCTAACTTTTTAAAAGTTTTTCCGATTGAAATACGCTTAAATTTTGCTAAAAACAATGTGAAAACACTTTATATTTGATTACTATCCCCACCAGGGCCGACAAAAAAAAAGTTGGTTTCCTCCCCGCCTAAAATTTTCCCCCCGCTTATCCGAATTGTACCGGAAAGAAAAATAAACGCGGAGGCGGTAGAAATCCTTCCACTAGCAAGGCGTTACGGTGGTTCCGGTCTGAAATCTGGACGGATTTGGAGCGCTTCGTAGCTTGTAGTTGTATTCCTTCGGAAAATCGCTGTGATTAAATTTATCACGATAAACGTGATTTATTGATTTATCGAAGAAATTTCTTTTTTATTGCCGACGTTTTCAAAAAGACTCCTAGGCTGCCAGCCGCTGATCTCCTTCGCCAACATCCATCCAAACGCCGTCGCCCCGCCGGAAGCGTCAATTTGCTTGGAGGCTCGTTTGCCAAAGATTGAGGAGATTCCGGCGTTTCGTAGATTGCCGAATTATGGTTTCAGGCTAGTTCTTGTCAGTCATCCATGCGGTTGATGGCATCAAAACGGGGCTGCCGACACAGACGGGCGACCGGACGCTAGTTGGCCTCGTTTGCTTGACGGCCTCACCGCAAGACCTTCAAAAGCTCTGTAAAACTAGTGGGTTGTCTAGGTTCGGCGATTACTAAATCTCCTTTCATAACCGCCTGTTACCGGTTTAATGACGAGAGTTGGAAATTTCTTCAAACTGCAACCTCGAAATTTATCGACCCGCTATCTAAAAAAAACAGTTAAAACTTGGGAAACCAAACCACGCCGCGCCGTTTTGTCGCTTCTTTGATGCCAGCTTTAGATTGTTCACCCATTTTTTGGCCCCACCACTTCTACGTCCACCTCGGGCAAATTTGATTCCGGGCATGGGCCCTTATGGCGCGAGGAGGCGGCCCGCTTTTATTTTCGCCCTTTTTATCGCCACGATGCTGGGGGCCCATCGTGTGTCTTTGCTGCGCGCCTCCTCTTTGTAGCTTCTCGATTGGGCGCACTGAGGAGCGGGGGTGCCTTATTTTTTAGATATATTTTAGTTTTAATCTTGGAAAGGTAGATATTCATCTGGGCCGTCCATGGTCGGTTCTGGACTGTTAGCGCGGTTTTCAAGTAGATAAAGCTCATAAAAAGTGTTAAAAAGGCGAAAAACCTTGGAATTTTCACCAAAACTCATTTTAAAATTGCCAGTTTGTTTTGACTCGCCTTGCCAACTATAGGTATAGTCTAGATAGCGCCACCCCGCTACCCCCCCGCTAACAGTCTAGAACCCCGGCTCTGACTGACCCTACTGCAGGGGCGTTTTTTTGTGGTGTGAGGGTGGGGGTGATGTTAGTGTGCCTTTGGTCCCACCCGGGAATTGAGGCCTATTGAAGCGTGTGGCCAGTGAGGGGCGCTAGTGTTCTTCCCGCCCCGGGTTTCGGGCCCCCGGGCTTGTTTTGTATGTCTCGAAAAGTTACGCATGGCTCGGATGCATAACCTAAAAGGGAGGGCGCTTCCCTAGGCTCTGACAGCCCCTCCTGGTTGCCCCCCTCGAATTACAACCCACCGCTGAGCAGCACCTGGCACACGCACACATACACACACGCTCACACTTGACCCGCCCCCCTAAGCTTTTCCTCGCCCCCTTAGCCCCCCCCCCCGCGCCTTGGCGAGAGTATCTTGTTTCCGAAAAGCGCCGCATTATTTTGATGCTCATTATTCATTCAGCCTTCCTTGGGGGGCATAGTTGCCAATTGTTGCCAATCGGCCATTCATCCGCCCGTTCCGCCCCAAATGGCGTCCCGCACATCCTCGCGAGGCTTTTCCCCCCGGAGAGACCTCAGAGTATCCTGTTTCCGCCTGCCCGCTTTTTTTTTGGTTCAACCCATCTTTACGGAAAGCGTTTTTTTTGCGAATCTATGGGGGGTTTTCGTTGCGATGCGTGAGCGGCGGAATGAATTTTAGGCTTTTTTCCTGATTACAAGGTGTTTTGGGCCCGTTCTCAGGACATGACACTGAATTTTCTCATTCACTTCTGAATAACATTACCCGGTTTTTGGTAGCTAAGAGCTCATTTTTTAGCTTATCGTAGCTTCTCGTAAGCAGAGGAATTTTTAGGCGTGTCAGACGACCAGAAACCTCCAGGATACGATCTTATCGGGTTCTGGGCGCTTAGCGGGGGTCATGCCTTATCTTCCGCACAAAATTTGTAGCTTGTTATATCATCTTTAGGTGATTTTAGTGGTTTTTGACTAACAAAACACGGAGATTTTCGGAGGTTTTCATACTTTTTTTCACCGATCAAAAAATTTCAACATTCAAATATTTATAATAATTACCATGCTTAAAAACGGATCTATAAGAATTGTGTATCTTTTATTAAGGGAACCCCGTTAACAATTCAACGCCTATTATTGTTGTCTTGTAAATTTTATCCCTTCAATAGTCTAGCGAAGTGGGGATGCGGCAGCTGTTTGTTTCAGTGCGACGGTTCGTGACCCGGGGGTTCAGCTGAGCCGGTGGCCCCTCGGGGGGCTTTTCCCGCCTATCGTTGAGGTTGTAACACATTCCGCCCGGGTCTCAGCCATCCGTCGCATGCTCTCCGACCTTTTTCTCCGTCGATTCCATATTCCTTTAATCATACGCGCGACGTTGCATGTGGTGGCCAGCTGGAGGCATTTTTCGAAACGATTTTTCGAGTTCGAGACTGAGGAATACTGCCTAAAATTCCAAACCAATTTTTCTCGTTAAAAGCGTTTCCCTTTTGGGACAAAAAAAAAACAGTTCTTAGCGTGTTTTATGATGTTTTTATAGATAAAAAACGGTGCAAGATCCATTTTCTCTCACGAGATCATCGAAAAGCTCCCATCCCCCCGATAAGTGAGAAGCATCTCCTGACTTGACTCACCGGCGCTGCTGCTCCCAAACGCCTCGAGAGTCTTCTTTGATTTGGGATGCATTTTTCAGCCGAGCTACGGAAGCGGCCATCACTGGCAACACTCCGGAACGGCGGCCCTCCTCTGGCACTCCCCCAGCCACACCTCCGAGTCGTGCCTTTTTTGGGGGCCTTTTAGCAGCCAAAAAAAAGGCAAGGGGGAGATGAGGGGATATCCCAGAGTCCCCGGGGCCGATGGGCCCGAAAAATTGGCCCTAGGGCCAGGCAGGGATTGCCCGAGTTACGGCGATTCCGGGGGGCCAGCTTTGAATTTTTTTGGAACACAAGGGCATCGTGGACGTGCTGGCGACTTGAGGATTCGCGATTTCAAAGTGGAAATGCGCCTATTTTGTGCGGACCTGGCCAGGAAAGCTAGGTACGGGGGGTAGAGGCGTGGAAGCTATCAAGGAAAAAATGTCATCTTTTTCTACTGTAAGATTTGTGTAATGCAAACTTGAACTTTTGATCATTTTTGTGGATTTTCCGCCAAAAATATTCAAGATTTTCCGCCGATTTTGATAATTTTAGGAATTGTTTATGCTTGAAACTGCGCAAGAAGCTATTTAAATTTGAAGGCTCTGGTTTTTATTAGTGGAACTCTCCGGGGGCGATAGGACAACGTTAATTAGCCCCCCCCCCCCCCCGCTAATAGCCCAGTACCGAAGTCGGATCTGCTTGCAGATTTGAGGAAATTTAGGTTTTTGAGGGGCTTAGGAATACTTTTAGGCTTGTCCGAAGCGATAAAAACGCTGCCGGGGCGCTTTGTAGCAATGTGCAACTTATTATGATTTGAAGGAAGTATAGCACGATCCAGCGAGAATATTAATAATTGGGGTCTCTTCTGCAGAGCCAAGTGATAGCCGCTTTCTCATGGCGAGTGCGGGGGGGGGGAGGATGTAGCTCTCCTCCTCCTCCGGCTCCTCTCAGATTCTGCTCCCCGTGGCCATGTGTCTCACGGAACTCCCCGAGGACCTTTTATAGTCCTCCACCCCCTATCCGCTACCCTCTGCCAATTCCACTTTTTTCCCTCTCTGCCCTCCCGTTAGTCGTCTCTACCCCGCCAGGACCCATTGGAACCTTTTGGAGGCTTCATTAGTTCGTTTTTTATTTTTGCCGTGATTTTCACTGCATTTTCCAGTGTCTTTTTCAAAAACACTATTTTTTCTCAGTTTTCTCCTCCTTTTCCTCAATTTTCCGTATTTCAGATAGCACAGCGGTGCGCGGGCTCGAGCGCATCGAGCCTTTGGTGGGCGCTACCGTATGATGCCCATCGGGACCGCTGGAGACTCCCCCCGGCACAAGTGATGGTCGACGGCCAGGGCCGGTTGGCCGCCTTCGTATGCCTGGCCCTTTTCTGGGTTCCTGGTGAGTAAAATTGGAATTTTATAATTTTTTTATTTTTAAAAAAATAGTGAAAAATACTAGAGGAGTCTGATAGCGAAATCCAGGCTGTTTTCTATAGAATTTACGCTGTTTTTAGCATCAAAAGATCACGCAAAAATGAAAAAAATATTGACGTTTTGCCGCCAATTTTATGAAAACCAGCAAAAAATTTGTAAATACTTTGGGTTTTCACAATGTTTTATCGGGTTTTATATATGAATTTTTTGAGAACTAAGAACACAGTGAAAATACACTAATCCCCCGATAAAAGAAAAGCACCAAAAATGCTAGGGCCTGAAGCTCACGCTATTTTTTTGCAAAAATGTGCACCAGCAGTTTATAACCGTGTGCCAAGCGGTG